TAGGTCCTGATTTCAATGCTGATCAATATTTTCAAATAATCATGTGACAGAGTAATTGTACATGATCAAATCCAATACCATATTGTAGTGACTAGCATTTTCTTTGTTTTATTCCTATCCCTTCCCAGTTCTAGGCATGTTTACTAGCAAATACTGTAAGTATTGCTCCTTTCAATAGGATATACTTCCTTGTGTTGGATTCAGATAAGCATATTTTCCCACCAAAGAAATGCTAAGCTTCTCATTAAATCTCAGTAGATTCGTTCTGATGTTGACACAATCATAAAAATAAGCCTTTCTAGGACTATATTAGAAGTACAAATATTGTTTATTCTCATCACAAAATCCAATTAAGAGAAGGATGTAGAACATTCCAATTATATAATACTTCAGACTTCCTATGACTCAATAAAGCCTACTGGCAACAAGTATTCTGAAGGGTTTAATGAAGGATAGCAACATAAAGCAGAGGAGAGCATATGCAACAGCAGTCACATATAAATGTTTTCTGGATCCCCTACAGTCTTGACACTGGCTGTTAGCATTGGCTGATCCTCAAGGCTTTTTCTTTCTTTCTTTTTTCTTTTTTAAATCTTTATTGAATGAACATGGAAGCCACAACAACAACAATAACAAAATAATACTACAGATCTTTCCTAGAAATATATAATCTGATATAGTTCTTTCATACCATTGTAATCCGCATCAGATGAAAATATTTCACCAAAGGCTGACATGAGAGATAGAGTCTACGCATAAAAATACTCATCCATAAGAGTACTTTGCATGCAACCAGAGTACATGAGAAAAATATAGGCAACTCATCTGCAGGAAACAATATGTTTTAAATAAAAAATGCTTCAGTGTGAAAAGCGGTTTAAACTTCCTTTAAGAGCAGCCGTTGTAGCATCTGGAACTAAATCTCAGGCTATCACCATCTTCCATCATCTTCTGTTTCTACAGTGATCCAAGGCAGAAACAAAAGTAGTTCTAGAGGTAAAATCATGAGGCTCTAAAGCTGATAGCAGTCAAATTCCTGATTCAAGAGGGACAGATATCCTTGCCTCTTCATTCTATTTCCAAACTAAAACTACAATCACAGTCCTTTCTCAATTCCCTGCCTCCCCACCCCACTGGGCTAAACTAAGCACTCACCAAGAGTTCACTTTTGCTGTGGAATTTTACAGGCCAGTGACCCAAAATAGAAAACATGAGGTGTTTGGGGTTTGTTTGTTTGTTTTTTACTACAACTCCCAGAATCCCACATCAACATGGCCACTGCCAGGCTGGCTGTGGCATTCTATAGTTGAGGTAAGTAACATATTCCATCTGTGGCAATGACAGGTTTGTCAAAGCTGTACCAAGTGATCTAAAAGGGAGCTCTATACCAAGAGAACAAAGATACCTAGCATACAGAAGAAAAGCAAAGAAAAATCCTCTTTGATGCAATGGGAAACAGGATACCCCAGGAAATTGAATGACAGTGTCAGTATGGATTACTGCAGGCTTACCCAAAGCAGTAAATAAGGTAGCATCTTCAGAGGAGCTTTCAAATTCGGCCTGTTAAAAGTTAGTTAAGGAAGTAAACCTGAAAACATTCTCAAATTCATGGTGTGCAGAGGCTTAACTTTCCTTAGGCAAGGTAAGCCAACAAATTCACAGCTGAGCTGATAAAGCATACTGGATCATTAAATCGGTAGATCTAGCAAGTGCAACACAGAGTGGAGTTAGAGAAATGAGTGGAAAGGATTAATAGCCTGTAGAGAAATTCAAATGCACATTCTGTACTCTTTGTAAATATCTAATTCTAAACCTAAAGTGACTTCAACTAATAACACATCCTGACAAATGCTAGTCGGGTCAGGTGCTGAAGCACGCCGAAATGAATACAGGTCTTTGGACACTTTGAATTCCTAAGCCACAGCTGCAGTTCTACAAGATTTCATTAAACATGATAGATTCACTGCCTCTGGGCACAATTTTATTGCCCAGATATTCTTTTGCTGGGTCAAAGCAAAATGAAACAATCTGATTCCAAATTCTAGTCTTTTCAAAGGAAGTTTAAATATAGAAAATTACATTAGCCCGAGAACAAGACTGTGCCTTAAAGCCCACTCCGTGTGACAAGATTGCTTTATTCTATCAGCATGTTGGGTCAGTTTAAGTACATTGGTTGCATAAAAGAGATTGGTGTTGTACTTAAACATCTTGAATGTGATCATCTGATCTACATATTTGTTGTGTAGCCTTGGCTGAAGTTGCATTAGCAGCCAGGGAGAGACGCAAGAGACCTTTTAACATGACAGCAGCCATATGGAGTACTTAAGTAAGGCAAAGTGTGCTACTCATATACTGCCCCATAGCACATAAAGCACTCTCTGGGCAGTTTAAAACATGGTTATGCAGGTAACATATTACCCCCCTCCCCTCCCGTGCTCTGGGAACTCTGTTTACCAACCTCAGAAGGATGTTGATCTTGAGCTGGCTACCTGAGCCCATTGGGAGATGTTGACCTTGAGCTGGCTACCTGAGCCCATCGGGATCAAACTAAGGTATTCATTCATTCATTCATTCATTCATTCATTCATTCATTCATTCATTCATTCATTCTATTTATATCCCCCCTATCTGGTTGATATGACCACTCTAGGTGGCTAATGTACAGATTCTTAACTGCAGTACTTAAGTTTAACCACTGTGTCAGGAGGTTCCTTAGGAATGGGTGCAAATTTTATTTCAGTTTTTTTTTTGGAAGTATTTATTAAATTTATTCCTATTCAGAAAGAAAATGTTGATGTTGGGTGTATAATCTCTAAAGGAAAAAGTCTAATGGGAAAATAATATATTACAGAGGACCCCTAAGGGGCTAGATACCGTGTTTCCCCAAAAATAAGACACTTCTTCATATTCAGAAAGAAAATATTGATGTTGGCTGTATAATCTCTAAAGGAAAAAGTCTGATGGGAAAAGAATATATTACAGAGGACCCCTAAGGGCCTAGATACCATGTTTCCCCCCCAAAAAAACAGGGTCTTATATTACATTTTGCTCCAAAAAACTCATTAGGGTTCATTTTCAGGGGATGTTTAATTTTTTTCATGTACAACAATTACATTTATCCAAATACAGCCATGTCATCTTCTTTGGGTTGCTGCACAAGGGTGGAAGGTGAGGTTTCACTTAACTGGGGCTTATTTTTGGAGTAGGGCTTATATTAGGAGCATCCTGAAAAATCATACTAGGGCTTATTTTCAGGTTAGGTCTTATATTCGGGGAAACAGGGTATGTATCAGTGCAGACTTAATAGGCTTAGCTGTTGAGCACTGCTACTACAGCAAACAACAGAGAGACCTAGTCCTGGGTAAGCTAGGCCTGCTGGGAGCTCAAGTGCTGAAAGTGAAGGTGGGAGAAACCATAATTGGCAAATGGTGGTGTCATTCAGGGCTCACAGAACCAGATCTTTCTCAGTAGGAGGGACTGTGACATTAGGGATCCCACTGATCTTAGCTACAATCCTCAGAGTAGCCAGGAGAGTAATGGATTTTCATAGGCCAAGTGCATTGTTGAAAATGATCCCTGTTGGAATGAAAAGTAGCTGAGAGCAATGTGCTCTTGAATTGACAGTTCAAATCCATTGGCCAAATCCTGTTGAGTAAGAAGATATAATCTGGCATGAGGAGGAGGTATTAATTAAAGAGCTCTCAAGACTCACTTGACTCGCTCACATACATTGTTATTGTGCATAAGCCATGCAAGTTCCAGGATGGAAACAGGAACTTTTCAATTACTGATAACCTCCTACTTCCATCCTGAAGCTTGCACAGCTTGCATGCCATGAGAAAGATTGTGCACAAGCCATGTGATACCTAGGACTGAAGCAGGAACTCTTTATCTACCAGCAACTCCCCCTGCCAGATAACATCACCTCCCTTAAATGGGCCCACTTTACTCAACAGGATTCTGACCTTTAACTTTACAAAGGGCCTTCTCTGGATTTGTTGATAAGAACTTATCTAGCTGCCTTATTTTTTCACTTTCTCATGGTGTGTGTGTGTGACTGGTTATGGAAACTGTTGCAGCGAACATCTCACCTTCCAAATTTGCCACGATGTCACCACTCACAGATTGAGCAGTGCCTGGAAATCCAAACACAGGCCTTTAAATGCTAAATAATTAATCAGTGCTTAATTATCAATCAACTAATTTGCACCTGCGCATGTTCAGCCCTATTAGTGTTGAATGCAGGGCCCCCTCCCAAAGTTATTTGTCTTTAATAACTTTAATAATATGGCATATAAGTACAATATGGGCACCAACTGAGGCATTATTCAGCATGGCACTGTGAAAATGCTGAGAGAGGAACATGTATCTCTCCCCCCTCCCATCATCATGTTATTAATGGTTGCAGCTCAGAGTCTGAAGAGCAAAGAGTCTTGCTTGTGCAAACTCTGTGTGAGAAAGAACCCTGAAAATCTCATATTTGTCCACCTGAAGAGCCTATAATCCGGTAGGGCCCTCTTCACAGCTGGCACTGGAACTGCGAATAACAGGCTGGTGGAGAGGGCAGGGCTGGATGTTCCTCTCAAAGAATCTGAATAGCACCTGGATAGGGCTAAGGTCATCTCCATACTGGAGACAGTACATGCTGAACATGAGCACTGAAACATCTTACAGTGGTCACTCAGGACAGTATAGGGATTCCACTGGTGCACCCTGCCAATGAGTTCCCTTATCTGAGTTAACCAAGGTGAGCTCACATTTGGTGTTGAAGACCTCTAGGATGGTTGTTCTGGGTGACCGCAGCATACACACTGAGACCTTTGCATTCAGTCTGACTTACTTGCCTGCAGCATACACAGCAGACTGCAGCAGACTGACCTTTGCATTCAGTCTGACTTACTTGCCATAATGATCATGGGATTGTCTCAGCATGTCATCTGCTGAACGTAAAATGAAGATGCTGTAAATGCAAGGACATTTGCAATGAAAGATGCATTTATTAAACATTCTACAGGGTGTTTATTAGTGGTGAGCAAGAGGTGAATTTCACTGTTGACTTCTGCAGAGTTAGAACTCCACCCAACAGTTGCTTTCATCACACCATGTTAAAATCAGTTGCAGAGTCAGTCCATTTTAGTTGCATCCGAAGCCACGTAGATCATTTCTAAAAGCATCCCTGAAAGCAGTTCTTCATCTAGTGTTTTTCTGTGATAAAAGGATACCACTTCAGTTGTTTTTTCTTCTTACACATCTCATCACCCTCTGTTGCACTTCATTTTGGGTCAGCTGCACCATAATAGATGCTGAATAAAACAGTTAGGTGGGATCTTGGACAGGATCCAAATTTTGTTTCCAAGCCTGAAGGTTTGCATGACATACTGCATTTAATATTCAGTTCCTAAAATCTCATTTCCATCACCCAAAACCCAAAGCTGGTATTCACAGCACCTTTGATTCAATAGTTTCACATGCAGCAGATTATCTACTGTTGTATCAGTATGGAATTTCCTCTCAGCGTCTATTTCTATGAAGCCCTTTCTTTAGGTCAGAGGTACATGTGCTGCACATAATTGCTCCTTTGTGCAATCTTTTTAGCGAACAATGGTTTACTTCAGTGTTTTTAGAAGATGCTTTAAATCTAGCTCTGGAATCCCAAATATTCTTCAGCACAGATCCTAAATGAGAATATGGTTAGAAAAGGGATATTTTAAAAAATCTTCCTATATTTTTTCTACTGTTAGAATAGGTCTCCGTTTAAGTGAGGAACATGATAGCAAAATCTGTTACACTGCAGAACGTAGTCTATACTGCTGACGCCTCTGCCTTGATCGCTGTCTGGCCCGTCGGAGTGAGAGACTAATGGGCTGCTTTCCAAATTTCTCCATGATCTCTTTGATTCGGGCCATGTTGGTTTTGTTGATTGTGAAGTCACAGCGGGTTGGACCCATGTCATATCCTACAGCACAGTTTTTGGTAGTTGTAGTATAGCCTTCTGCTTTTGCAGTGACCACGTATTCTCCGGGGTTAAGAAGTCGCCAGTAATCTCCATCACTTGCTGTGAAAGAATCAAAGAAGAATAAATAGAACTATACAGTCACCTTCATGTCTACCTTTCTTTTTAATACCTAAAGGCTTGCCTTTCTTTGCATGTTCAGATATTGCTCTAGGACCAGGCACTACAAGATCTAGCTGCTAGCAATACTAGAAATTTTTCACCTGACCTTTTAGTGAGTACTGCACATATGCAGTATAACCATATGTTCTTATCATACAGGCTTCCTTTATAAAATAATGAATAAGCTGCTGCTGAGCCGGGGCTTCAGCAGTGTGGCTTACCTTTGCCTTCTTCCACGGAGGTATGCGAGACCTCTTTGTTAAGTCTCACGTGAGCAGTCATAGAAGAGAGGGGAATATTAAGCTATTTAAAGGTTGTTCCCCCCTCTTTGCTTCCTCTTTCTGGCTGGCATCCCAGCTGCCTGCCCTATAGTCTAGTGTGAATTTATCTGGTCGCCTTTAGGGCCGGGTAGGAATTTCTGACCTGTCTCCCGATTGGTTCTTGGAGGCAGGGAATTTTTGCCTATCCCACTTTGGAAAAGGTGGATTGGCAATATTGAGGTGGAAATTAGGTCACACTGGTGGTTAGTGCAGATTAAACAGGTAGTTTGGTGAGTCCCAGAACAATAGCAGGTAATTATAGCTCATCTGAACTCCCAGCAGTGCGGATTGTGCGATTACAGTGCTGGGGGGGAAGATGCGCTGGGGATACACCCAGACCAACAGTCAACAAGGAGAGAGTGGCTTGAGGTGCAGCGTGATCAAATTTGGGACAACAGAGTTTCTCACTGTCTTCATGGCTGGGAGAACTTGGGCCAGGGACTCACACATTGGTTGGTTAGAAGGGTCCTTTTAGACCTACGTCTTTGAAACCTGAATCTGCACTATGGCAGGACCCCCCTTTGCCAAATGATTGGCAACAATGATTATAGTTTAAAAGTGTGGCTTGTGTTTAATCCATATTTCTAGTCCAGTGTGTTTATTCCAGGGTAAGGGGGCAAAGTATTTCATATTCTCCTTTCCAAAATGGTTGAAAGTTGTATGCTACTTTTAGAAGATATTCTTCTTTGATGAAAAAAAAAGAACAATGAAAAACATCCAACAACTTGGTAAAAATCTACCTGTCTAAAAATCATAGAATCATACAATAATGAAACTGGAGGGGGTCTATAAAGCCATCAAGTCCAACCCCCTGCTTGATGCAGAAATACAAACCAGTGGGTATCTGCCAGGTGTTTATCTAAATTTATCTTGAATGCCTCTAGCAATCACCACTCTTGAGGTAATTGGTTCCATTGCCGTACTGCTCTAACAGTTAGGAGGTTTTTCCAGATATTTAACCAAAATCTGGCTTCCTGTAACTTTACCCCATTGCTGTGTGTCCTGTTCTCTGGGATGATCAAGAACAGATCCTGCCCCTCCTCTGTATTTTCAAGTATTTGGAAAGTGCTATCATAAATCCCCTCAGTCTTCTTTTCTTTAAACATGCCAAGTTCTTTTGATCTTTCCTCATAGGGCTTAGTTTCCATCTCTCTCAGATCATCCTTGTTGCCCTCCTCTGAACTTGTTCCAATTTTCAGCATCCTTCTTGAAGTGTGGTGTTCAGAAATGGACACAATACTCAGGATGAGGTCTAACCAGTGCCAAATAGAGGGGAACTAGTACTTTGAAGGATTTGGAGACTATAAATCTGTTAACACAGCCTAAAATGAACAGATCTAATAGATATTCAAGGCATACCAAATACTAACATGCTAGCATGACTATATTTGTACTAACATCATTTTCCCAGAATTGATTGCCAACTTGAAACAGTTGCTTTCCTCCCTTTCATCTTGTAAAACCCATTTGTGTTGGAATATTGTGCCAAAACATGTAGCAAGTGGTATGAATTAGGAGGTAGATAGATAATCCTTGTTTCTTTTCCAATGTTATATTTTCTAGCTCTACATGTAGATTAGTACATGTAAAGCCTTCTAGCCAAGAAGAATACTCACACAACTTCTCCATAATAGCTGCAACACACATAAAAGGCAGCTGTAGTAATTTTATAACTAAGTTTGAGGCTTTTAATCCTGCACTAATCCTTGAATTGATTTCCTGTAGCAGTAAGCATAAGCATTCTATTTTTATCCAATTCCCAGTTTCGAGAGAAATTGTTCATGTTCAACTAACATGAATAACTAAGACACAATAACCTACTGGTATATATACAAAATATTTTTTACAGTTTGAGCCCACATTTTAAACAGAAGAGTTTGATTAAATTCAATGTGCTGTTATAGCCACCTGCCTCATTCCCAGCAGCATTTCAGACGCCAGCAAAAAGAAACATTGACCCAGTATCTAGATCTGCAAAATAGTCAGCAGGCATATGTTTACTCTTAATTTATAAAATAAATCTGTGCCCAATCTGAAATTCTGCAATAACAAAAACATAATTCTATGACCTGTGTAAGTAATGCCAATTAGCAAACTGATATATATTGCTGCACAGCCTAGCTTTTTCTATGTCTGCTGCTAATGAAGGGAAGAAAGGGGTTACCAGGCCCCTATGAAATTCATCTCATTCACTTTTCTGACTTTTGAGATTTTGCTCTACATAGCCTACCACGTGCTTAAAAGCACTAAAACTTTGCTTTCTGCAAACACAGCTGTAGGCCAAGGTCTAGCAGACGCTGCCATCAGCAGAAAGAGTGTGTGTATAATTTTTATCAATCCCCCCTTTTTCATTCAGTTTCTAGTTGCCACCACCACACACCATTTTAGAGGGTCAGTGGACTGGATGGGTACATAAGGTGCCTAGGAGAAGGAGGGAAGTTTTCCTTTCTCTCCCCTGCTTTCTACTCAAAGCCTTTACCAGCTCAGAGTCTTAAGCTCTTAGGATACTGAATTTTATACCTAAGACATTTCAGGCACTACCTCAAGCAAACAAGGCATCCTTTCTTGTATACACATTATCTCAAATAAACAACAATGCTCCATTATTAGGAAGAGCCATGGCTTACTTTTTTTCACTCCACACCATTTTCAGAGATTTGCTGACAAAGACTGTTTCACTTTTGGAAGGAAATTAAATACTACTTCTGTCAATTATTGTTAATAAAAACTAAATTCTGACAGTAAAGGCCCAAAGTCCAAACCAAAGACAAATAAACATGGAAGGAGGGCATACGTATGTTATGTATGGTTGTACATAGATACATACACTGAGGGAGAAATGCTTGAGGAAGTGCATTGGGGCTTTAAATTATAAACAAAGCATTTGCTCTACCACTAACTTGTGACCCCTCCCTAAAGTTAGGATGATCTCACAATGGTAGATAACAAATGCAAACCCTGAGATACATTTATAGCTGAATTATATGTCTCTAGCAGAAGATAACGGCTCATCTTTCCTCCTTTCATCTTTGCAAGATGATACAAATTCTTACATTAATTGACATTAATTGACATTAATTATTAATTAACAGTAATAAATTAATTAATTTACAATGAGGAGTTGGGCGTTAGCCCTCACTTTATGGAATAAAGTACTAGTTGAGGTGTCCCAGACTTCGTCCCTCCTAATATTCAAGAAATTATATAAAACAGAATTATATAAGACAGGCTTTAGGGACTTTACTCTCAAAAAACGTCAGTTTTAATACTGTACTTGAACCTCAGGCTTCTGTAGATTACCACAATTGAATTGGTTATATCACCATTTTGATTATGTTTTTATGGAAACAAGTAAGTAGGGGCTGTGGGATTTTGCTTGTGTATGCACTAATTGGGTCACATATGAGTAAAATAAATAAATGAATGAATATACTGTATATTTTACAGGATAACATTGCATGAGCACAACTGGACTCTCTTCTGTCCTTAGGGCTAATAATATTCTGGACATTTTTTACTAATGAATCTAGATTAGTTTGTAAATATGGATGAAGACTCTAAATGGCAACATGTATGTTAGGTTTCCTCTTATTGGTTTTTCTCTTCTATGGCCCTGATAAGGCTAAGTCTTGTATCATCCAGTGTATCAAAGATTCAGACATTCAAAATTCACTTTCAACAGCCAGTAAGATAAGCTCTCCTTGGCCATTTCTCATTTATCCATGTTCTGCTGGTCTCCAAGTAAAATACTTGCAAAAAATATGGAGTTCTTCAAAGTACACGAAGACATGCACTCTCTTAATGTTATGTTTCAGGTGTCCTGAATTGGAGATTAAAAGGAATACATTTTCATGAAGCCTATGTACATGTAGTTGAGAAAACTCTAGTCATGTTTTTATTTTCTGTAACTTTTAAGATGAGTTCATTGACCAGCTCAATTGAGGAATAATAACTGAATATTATGTCTCTTTTCCTCTGACACAAAATACAAAAAGAGCAGCCAAATTTTTGCTCAAAGGAATGAAGATAGAAAAGCTGGTATCCTGTTCAAAATGCTATGCATACAAGGGTAATTGTACAAGCAAATTCACCTAATTAGTGATGTGACTGTTGTATATCTGGTTGTACAACCTGCAAGGGGCAGTCAGCTTCCCGGTCAGGCATATCTGCCTCTGTATGTAGTTGCCAAGGCACACACAGTATTTTGCAAAAGAAAACTGACCTAAGATTCTATCCAGCTGGGATATTCAGTTCTTATAGTACAGTACTGCAGATTTCTTTCATGTCTACAGATTTTATTCTGAGGTCTGTGGATGGCACCAATAAATTTCATTCAGGAGTGTGTGGGTTTTTTTCATGGAGAGGTACTCTTGCTTACATGGTGCTCTTTGCCATACAATGTAAATTTAATTATCATATATCACAGTCAAAATTAATGTATAATAATATACAGTGGTGCCTTGATTTATGAACTTAATCTGTATTGGAACGGTGGCCGTAAGTCAAAACGTTCATAAGTCAAAGCACCATTTCCCATAGGAATGCACTGAAAACCGATTAATCTGTTCTGGCTGTTTTTGTCCTCATGTCAAGGCACGGTTTGTACGTCAAAGCATTAGTTCCCATAGGAACTAATGCAAAGCCGGTTAATCCGTATTCTGCCACTAGGGGGAAATTTTTTTTCCTTTTTTCTTCTTTTGATTTAAGATGAATTTAGGTTAAAAAAAAAGGGCAGGAAAGTGTTTTTTTTCCATTCGTAAGTCAAAGCTCCATTCGTAACTCAAAGCAATATTTAGCATCCGGAGCTGTACGTAAGTCAAATTATTCGTAGATCTGGGCATTTGTAAGTCAAGGCACCACTGTAGTTGGCACACATTGTTGTTGTTTAGGCGTTAAGTCATGTCCGAATTTTCGTGACCCCATGGACCAGAGCACGCCAGGCCTTCCTGTCTTCCACTGCCTCCCAGAGCTGGGTCAAATTCATGTTGGTAGTTTCGATGACACTGTCCAACCATCTATCCTCTGTTGTCCCCTTGCCTTCACACTTTCCTAACATCAGGGTCTTTTCCAGGGAGTCTTCTCTTCTCATGAGATGGCCAAAGTATTGGAGCCTCAGCTTCAGGATCTGTCCTTCCAGTGAGCACTCAGCGTTGATATCCTTTAGAATGAATAGGTTTGTTCTTCTTGCAGTCCAGGGGACTCTCAAGAGCCTCCTCCAGAACCACAATTCAAAAGCATCAATTCTTCGGCAGTCAGCTTTCTTTATGGTC